CCCCAAAACCCCAAAACCCCAAAACCCCAAAACCCCAAAACCCCAAAACCCCAAAACCCCTGGAAGAAGAAAGATGGTTGATTCCAAAAAATTGATAGAAAAGAACTTGCAATTGATATTAAGTTCAATCTTTTAGAATCTGCAGCACTACTTGACGATTATGGGCAATCCATATGTCCAACACATCCTGATCAGCAGTGACAATATTCTTGCGCTTCTTTTCACCACACATCAGGATCCGGATTTACTACATAAGTTCAAGTCTGACAAATATTAGGGGCACAACCCGGGCATAATGTAAGGAGATCAGCATCTGAAGCGAGTAACTCTTTCACCAGAGGGCTAACTTCTTTCTCTGCGAAAGCTGCAGAGATCAGCATCATGGCGAGTGCAATGAGGAAATATGTCTTCATTTTTAATTTTATTATTTAATCAAATTTTTTTATCTTTTTATAGTTTTTCCACTTCCAGATAGCAAGAAAGATTCGAAATTTCAGGACATCGAGAAGTCAAGGTAGATGCCCATTTGGCCAAAACAATAGAAAGGAAAATTGTTTTGATGAGAATTTCCTTGCCACATTCTTCTTCGGCATCATGCCTTTTGCAGTATTTCCAACTTTGCTAACTAAGACTAACATTATAATTAGTTTGGGAATTTCGAAATAATTCGGAAAATCGACGAGTCATACAGAGAGGCGAGAGCACCCTAAAATATCCGATTGATCTTTCTGGTTGCTGGGCATTATTGTTTTCTTGAGGAAAGCTCCTCGTGAGGCTTGATAAAATTCTAAATTTTCTATATTTTTCTTCCGATTATTCGAAAGGAGTAATAATTACCTTATAACTCCCTCTTCTTTCATCGCTGTTAGGGAAGCTGAAGCTTCTACACTACTCGGGCACTCAAATTAGAATTTTTCGTGCCCTTATGGCTTCTAAAATTGCAAAGATTTTATTCAAACACAGATAAAATGCTTTTATCTAAGCCTTTGCTTTCAGGCTAAGAACTTCTTAATGACCTCATAAAATGGCAAATTGGTCACTATAAGCCCTGGAGTAGTATTCCTAATGATTTAGTGAATTTTCCAAAGCGATTAACCGACTTTTGGAGGGCAGGTTGAGCGCAACCATATAATATAATTTACGAAACGGACATTTCTAGACAGCTTCTATATATAATTGGTATACGGGGTTTTGGGGTTTTGGGGTTTTGGGGTTTTGGGGTTTTGGGGTTTTGGGGTTTTGGGG